ATGGTGGTCTTTGGACCCTACCTCACCAGAAGGGCTGTCTGATTTCCCCAATCCATGGAACCTAGTCTCTCAAGACCTCTCCCCTTCCCCTGCTCCATTGGATAAGCTCTTCAACCTGTCATCGTCCATCCAGTGGGGTCTCTGGTGACCACCCCATACCATGGAGCGGGTTCCTGTTTCCCGCCTTTCCCAGGTCCTTGGTTACACGAAGGCACCCATGGCCATGATGTGGCCAGAGCATAGCAACTGGAGCTGGCGGTACAAGTATTTGATGCATCCGTAGTATATCGAGTGTGGCAGACATGCGTGCTGCAGAAACTCAGCCCACACTTGCACCTCGGCTCCGGGCTTCCTGTTCTGTGCGCAGCAGCTCGCAGTACAGTCTAAGAACTTGCTTCTGCAGCTGCATGGTAGAGCTGGGCCGTGGGTGCGAGCAGGCCCAAAACAGAGCAGCAGCACAGTTGGGAGAAATGGGTACCAGTGCAGTGATTTTTGATAGCAAAAATTTAGGTATTTTATTGTCAGTAGTACTTGATTAGGTTGGATTTGGTCTATACAAGAAACAATTTGTTTCATTCCACAAATGACTAGTAAGCCTCCTCTTCCCCCCAAAAGCAGTTAAAATATTGAGTTATATAACTACTAAAAGGATAATCATGGGTTGTTGTGATGATTCAAAGATAAATTATTTGGTCTTTGCCCTCAAGGAATGTGATAAAAGGCAAATATAGTAGTGCCATCAGACAGATACTAACAAAGTATCCTAGGTCTTAATTTCCAGGAAGGTAGAGTTTCAGGCTGGGAGATGTCAGAATTTTTTTTTAATAGAGTTGGCATTTAAGTTGACCCTTGGAGGTTGGAAAAGGTTGTGACAGGTGGAGGGTAGGGGGCGGGGCAGAGGCTGGACAGTACAATAAAATTCTAGCCAAGAGCAGTCCTAGACCTTGAGAATCATGGAGCCTGAAGTCTCAGCTCTGTCTTACCTTGCTGCCTCTAGTTTTTTTGTTTTTTTTTTTATCCTCACCCGAGGACATTTTTCCATTTTTTTGCACAGAGTGGGAGGGAGAGAGAGGAAGGGAGAAAGAGAGAGAAACATGTGAAGGGACACATCGAGCGGCTGCCACCCGCACGACCAACCAGGGCCGGGGACAAACTGCAACCGAAGTATGTGCCCTTAGCGGGAACCGAACCCGGGTCTCTCCAGACGCTCTAACCGCTGAGCCAAACTGGCCAGGGCAGTTTTTTTAAGGAATAGCATGAAATTCTTTACAGACCTTTTGGCTAAATACATCTATATATGACTATTAGGATGGAGACCTCCCTCCTAGAATAAGTAGGGTGCCTTTAAAAGAGTGGAAATCATTTGGTTTAATGCTACTAAGGAGACAAATCTATCACAAGGGACTCAATGAAAACGTAGACCAGCTGATTGGCCGTGGTTGGGCCAAAGAGGAGAAGGCAGATTGCATACACATTACCTGAGCCCAGAGATGTGCCCTACTGATGATGGGTCTTTGGAATACTAATGAAATTAATGTTTCCTTTCCCTTTGAGCTTTAGTGGTTTTTTTAAAACCTTAACTTACTACAGTAAACAAATTTATGTGAGATTAAAATTTACTGATGTCCACACAAACATCTGAAACTAGTTTCAATGTATAAAGTTCTGCCTTTGCCACTGAACTGTGCATGTATATCTGTTTTGCAGAATAGTTTAATTGCATTCTAAGTGGAGAAATACAGTCTTCCCTAAAATTGTAGTTCATACAGAAATCACATTTTAACCAACTTTCGATTAGGAATTAGGGTAAGAGGAAGTAAGAGTTTTATGTTTAATCTGAAAGTGTTATTTTAGTGTCTTCTCTTAAAAATACTACTTTTCTTGCCGTTTATTTTTTCTCTATTCACTTTGGATCTGGGTGCCCTGAATGGAGAAAAGCAAAAACACAAAACAGTTCATGAAAAATTCACACATAGGTTAATCAGTTCTTGAGAGCTGAATTATAGATTTCTCTACTGAAAGTAAACCTACAATTTTAACTGCTGACTTTATTTATTTTTTTATTTTTTATCCTCACCCGAGGATATTTTTCCATTTTTTGTACAGATAGAGTGTGAGGGAGAGAGAGGAAGAGAGAGAGAGTGAGAGAAACATCGACGTGAAGGGACACATCGAGTGGCTGCCACCCGCACGACCAACCAGGGCCGGGGACAAACTGCAACCGAAGTACGTGCCCTTAGCGGGAACCGAACCCGGGTCTCTCCGGACCGCAGGCGGACGCTCTAACCGCTGAGCCAAACCGGCCAGGGCTAACTGCTGACTTTATTTATTCCACTTATAAAAATCTGATGATTCATTATATTTTCTTTGTACTTTACTATTATGAAATAAATGAGATTCTTTTAAAGCTGCAGTCTAAAGTAGAGATTGCTCAAACTATCGTTGCTTTAGTTTAGAAATGTATTGACTATTGAACTATTTTGTTTTCTAAACGATAGTATCTTGTTTAAATATTGAACTTTAAAATACTCGGGACTTTTCAAATTGCCTGGCTTACCTTATATAAGGAAGTGATTGTTTCTGTGCAAAAAACTCATTGAGAACAATAGTTAAATGTGCTCAAATTGGTCTGACTGTAAACTGGAGAAGATGCAAAATAAAGAAAATACGAATGAAAGAAGGATGAGGTACCAGAACCAGCTTTTTTCTGTGACTATTTTGTGTGCCGTTCCTTTTTTTTTAAGAGAGAGGAAGGGAGGTTGGGAGAGAAATTTCAATCGCTTGCCTCCTGCATATACTCTGACTAGGGATCAAACCCACCACCTTTTGGTGTACAGGAAAACATTCCAACCAACTAAACCATGCCGACCAGGCCTGTTCTGTTTATTTTTTCATCTTGACTGTTTCAGGTGGAAACTAGCACTTCACATGATTTAGACTAACAGCAGCATAAGAAAACAAATGTAATCTCAAATTTTGCAAAAATACATTTTTAATTTTTACTGGCTGGTGTCTTCCTACTAGAAATGTGCATTAGGTATCTGAAACCACTAATTAAAAGTATCCCATACAAGTGTTTCCCCATGATTTTTTTATATGACAAGTGGCAAGAGTTGGTAGAAAGATTCCTCTGAAAATTTATCCTGAGTCTGCAGTTAGGAGATGTGGATATTGCATTTAAAAAAATATTTGACAATAAAAGCTTTATATATATATATATATATACACATATATGTGTATATATATATATATATATAATCTCTATCTCCTCACCCGAGGACAGTTTTACATTTATCTTCAGATAGAGTGGGAGGGAGAGAGGGCGGAAGAGGGTGAGAGAGGGGAAGAGGGAGAGAGAAACATTGATGTGAGAGAGTCACATCGAGTGGCTGCCTCCTGCACGACCCAACCAAGGCCAGGGACAAACTGCAATCGAGGTACGTGTCCTTAGTGGGAACTGAACCCTCGTCTCTCTGGACCGCAGACTGATGCTCTAACCGCTGAACCAAACCGGCCAGGGCACAATAAAAGCTTTGGAAACTCAATTTTAGCTTAATTTTTGGTCACTAGATTTCTCTACAACTTGATGGACCATTTATGTACCATGTACTGACTTTTGGTACTGTAGTTGGTTTGGATGATTCCACTATCCATTTGGTTTTAATTGAAACTGTTATGTTTTGCTAGATCTTGGTGCTTATATGCTTGGCTTTGAGAAGGTATTTTAAAAACTTTGTGTACCATTGCTTGACACTAGAATTAAGGGTAAAAATGTTTAGCTATAGAAGTTTGGCAGTGTAAAGGTACATTATTTTTAGATAGTTTCTTTTTTAAAAGCCAACATTCTAGGAGTTTGTCCTACAGCATTCCATTTCATTCCAGGAATAGCCTGTTTATTTTTAGATTGTTATATAAAAAGTATAAAACCCATTTGCTTTGGTAGGACTTTTGCTTTCATTTGGAAACAATACCCAATAAAGGAGTCTATTATGAAATTCCAGATAGCCTTATTTTAAATATAAAATTACATAAAAAATATGAAAAGAGCCCTAGCCGGTTTGGCTCAGCGGTTAAAGCGTCGGCCTGCGGTCCTGAGAGACCCGGGTTCGGTTCCCGCTAAGGGCATGTACCTCGGTTGCAGTTTGTCCCCGGCTCTGGTTGGTCGTGCGGGTGGCAGCCACTCGATGTGTTCCCTTCACATCGATGTTTCTCTCTCTTTCTCTCTGGTCCTCTCTCTCCCTCCCACTCTACCTGAACAAAAAAATGGAAAAATGTCCTCGGGTGAGGATTAAAAAAAAAAAAAAAAATATGAAAAGAATAGAAAAAGTATAAATGTCTCAGTGCCTTATGTGGTATTAGCACGTTGGTTTACCTCTTTGTTGTTTTTCTAATATTTTTTAACATACTGTACCCTTTAGAGATAAAATGTATATTCTTAATTTCCAAAAACATATCTTCCTGTGAAGATTCAATCAGCAAGCAAGAGCTACAATATAACTAGGCATTGTTATGTGCTAAGGTTATAGAGAGAAAATATTTTTCTGCACCTACCTGTCATAGAATTCATACTACAGCTCCATTGGTTTAGTTGATTCCAATTTTATGACCAGTAAATTACTTCCAGTTGCCCAAAATAAAGTTTACTGGCTTAAAACCATGAAAATGTGTCCATTAAGTTGGACCTAGAGTGTTTGTTGATATTGACACTGAAAATTTCATCACCCCATCAATAATAACTGAATTAATGTCTGCGTATTGATCTACATATGTGTAATCTTCATTTTTTAATAGTCAAAAATTGTATGAAAATAAATAATGTTTTTTACTTTTAATATATTTCATATTAGGTGTAGAATGCCTAAGCATGTAGTTGTGTGATTCTTTTTCTAAGCAATAATAATTGCAGGCTTTCCCCTCAGAATAATTGTCCAAAAACACACTAAAAGGGGAATAAAAGTAATTTCAAGTGGTTAAATGTTGTCATTTTTAATATTTCAAAGATCTAACTGCAGCCATGAGCAGCAATGAGTGCTTCAAGTGTGGACGATCTGGCCACTGGGCCCGGGAATGCCCTACTGGTGGAGGCCGTGGTCGTGGAATGAGAAGCCGTGGCAGAGGTGGTTTTACCTCGGATAGAGGTATTTTGTCGAATTAAAAATTTTGAAGTACTAGAATATTCATTAATATCAAGACTGGTCTAATTAGCTAAATTATTTTTGTTTCTACCCCAAATAGGTTTCCAGTTTGTTTCTTCGTCTCTTCCAGACATCTGTTATCGCTGTGGTGAGTCTGGTCATCTTGCCAAGGATTGTGATCTTCAGGAGGATGGTAAGTATTTTAACACTTTTCATATACTTCTAGAACTTGGAGAGGTGAGCATGCACATATTATTGGAAAAGATTTTCCACCCTTGAGGTTTTGTATTGTATGGTTACATTTTGTAAAGATTTTATAGTCTTGGTCTGCTTCTTTTTCTTATTGTTGAAGCCTGCTATAATTGCGGTAGAGGTGGCCACATCGCAAAGGACTGCAAGGAGCCCAAGAGAGAGAGAGAGCAATGCTGCTATAACTGTGGCAAACCAGGCCATCTGGCTCGTGACTGTGACCACGCAGATGAGCAGAAGTGCTATTCTTGTGGAGAATTTGGACATATTCAAAAAGACTGCACCAAAGTGAAGTGCTATAGGTAAGTTATCAGAATGTTACTGCAGGAAATGCTCATTGCAGATTGTTTTAGAGATAAATTCTCTATAAGTGGAAGGACCTTGTGGATCAGTTCATTTAGTGAAAGTTGGCTCTGGCCAGAAGAGGTGGATTTCTACATACATAACCAGCATCCAATCTGTATATTAGTCAGTATTCTGCGATGATATAATAGCTTGTGGCTTATGGCAGCGGGACAGTTTACAGAACCTTGGAATTATTAATGTTTTAAAAATGAGACTGTTAAAAGTTTTGAAATGTACATACCTGTGAAATCTTAGAAATTACTTTGCATAAAAATATAATATCTTGGCTGGTGTTTTGGTTTTGATATTGGTTTATACCTTTTGGTGAAATTTTTAATTTTGTGGCTTTGCTACACAATTCAGTAGCATTGTTATCTAATTCCTTTTTGCTGTTAGGTAGAGGCTAATGATAAGACTTACCATCTTGAAAACAAAGATAGGTTGACTCACTTGTCATTGCTTTTTGTTCTGCATTGACTATTGCTTCAGTACAGTTTTACATTTTCTGAGAACCATTATGAAAACTTCTAATTTTTTTTTTTTAGGTGTGGTGAAACTGGTCATGTAGCCATCAACTGCAGCAAGACAAGTGAAGTCAACTGTTACCGCTGTGGCGAATCAGGGCACCTTGCACGGGAATGCACGATTGAGGCCACAGCTTAATTATTTTCCTTTGTCGCCCCTCCTTTTTCTGATTGATGGTTGTATTATTTTCTCTGAATCCTCTTCACTGGCCAAAGATTGGCAGATAGAGGCTATTCCCAGGCCAGTGAGCTTTACTTGCCATGTAAAAGGAGGAAAGGGGTGGAAAAAAAAATCGACTTTCTGCATTTAACTACAAAAAAAGTTTATGTTTAGTTTGGTAGAGGTGTTAAGTATAATGCTTTGTTAAAGAACCCCCTTTCCATGCCACTGGCAAATAGGGATTGATGAATGGGAAGAGTTGAATCAGACCAGTAAGCCCGTTCTGGGTTTCTTAAATATGTTCCCATGTAGGAGGTAAAAACCAATTCTGGAAGTATCTGTGAGCTTCCATAAATAACTTTAATTTTAGCATAATGATGGCCTTGGATTGTCTGACCTCAGTAGCTATTAAATAACATCAAGTAACATCTGTATCAGGCCCTACATAGAACATACAGTTGAGTGGGAGTAAACAAAATAAAAAGACAATATGTATGTTAATGTCTATGGGAGGAAAATCGGGATAAACCCTAAATAGGAACAACTTAACAGCATTGATGCTGGATATGCAGATGGTGATGGCAAAGGTTTAGAATACATTTTTTTGCAAAGACTAAATCTAAAACCCAGAGTAAACATCTATGCTTAGAGTAAGCATAATTTGGAGCTATTCAGGAATTGCAGAGAAATGCATTTTCACAGAAATCAAGATGTTATTTTTGTATACTATATCACTTAGACAACTGTGTTTCATTTGATGTAATCAGTTTTTAAAAGTCAGATGGAAAAAGCAACTGAAGTCCTAGAAAATAGAAATGTAATTTTAAACTATCCAATAAAGCTGGAGGAGGAAGGGGAATTTGACTGAAGTTCTTTTTGTTGTTTCAAATTTTTATTGATGTATATAGTGCAAAATGCCGTATTAAAGAAGGGAATGTGTAGTACTGAAAGCTGACAGTTTGGACTTTTCTTTTTGTATTAACTCAGTCATGTCTTTGAGTAATGAAAAAATAATTATAAGGAAGCATAGGTGTAACTACTTTGGCATCAGTTTTACAGGGATATAGAAGATTTAATTTCCTTTCTGTTCCATTTGAACAATGCCCTTTAGTTCTATGTACATGCTAAACAGTTTTAATACCATTGCTATGTTTTAGCATTTCATGTTTTTCCTGGGCTTCACAAGGATCTGAAATGTTGGATTTCTTGTTTTTTTTTTTTCTGGGATCTGATCTAGAGTTGAGATGGACCTTAGAAATAATTTAGTTTAATGAATTCACTTTATAGATTATTTAACTAGAAGTTAAATTTGCTTGAAGGGAAGATACAGCTACCTGGAGCCTAGAATCTCAAGTGTCCTTCCCACCTACCCTATGTCCTCTATTCTTTTTTGTTCCCCTCCACTAAACTAAATACAATTAGTGGCATGTTTTCCCAATGTGTTTTTTTTCTCTTCAGAATGCCATGCGATTTCTTCTTCATGTTGTGTATTTTTCATCTTTCAAGTAGAGTCTGGTCAATTTATGATGGTATATCACTGCAATGTTATGTTGGTGTGTCAGCTGTGCTGTGCCAATTCCAGCTTGGTCAAATTAATAGTCTAAAGCAGGCAAGGAAGAAGTCATGGCAGCTTTATTTCCTTATGAATACAGGCTTGCATGTTTCTTTTACATTTTATATTTTTACTGAGCAAACTGTCTCAGATGTTAACTAAGTACCTTAAATATGTTGATAATCTTGGTTTCTACCACAGTATGAAACAGCATAATAGAAGACCTATTTTTGTATGTAATATTCAGGGTTGGGTGGTGATTTGGGGTTATTTCCCCCCAAGGTTTCTGGCCTCAAGTAGGAAAAAAACCAGCAAATGAGATATTTAGAACTGCTTTGCTTCACACCATTCTGTGGGCTGCATTTGTAGTGCCTTTTGATTTGAGACCCTTTGATACACATATTTAAGGATCTACTCACAGCTGACTATAAAATGTTCTTTGATAAGAGCATTTATTTGTATTGACCTTACTGAGCAAGCACAACAAAAAAGTGTATTTTGCAAGGAAATGGAGCTAATTACTAGGAACCAATGGGTAAGTAATCCATTTCTGAACTTGAACTATTCTTTCTCAAACTATAAACTAGGAAGAAACTACTCCCCCCGTGCTTTTCTGTTCTCTGCTGAGATTCCCCGTCCCTGTTAGCTAGATGAAAGATCAAGGATTTCTCTTGTAACATGGGTTGAGGGATGGATGAAGAAAAGATAAATGGATGAAATACAATGAGTTTTGCATTGTCTAAAAGGTAAGATTTCATCTTCTTGTATTCCTGTTTTGTTGCCTTTTTGCCTGCTAGAATAGAGAATAGTTTTCCTTTAGCCTCTTGAAGCTTTATCGCTGACTCAAATGAGTGGATCAAAAAGTCTTACATAGCCAGTTTTTCCAAACCAGGTCTAGTCGGTCTAGTCAGGGTTTATAAATTGCATTCTTTAGTCTTAACCTACCAACAGTTGTAACCGTGATTTTTTTTTTTTTTTAAGAAAATAGTAAGTAGTTTTCTTCAATGTCCTATATTTACTGAATTTGTTTTCTTCATGGTGTCATTTAGTTTTTTTTTGGTACGTGCCCCTAGTGGGAACTGAACCTAGGACTCTGATCCACCGGCCAGTGCTCTCATTTAGGTTTTTTTTTTAATCCTCACCCGAGGACATTTTTTGATATTTTGTTCAGATAGAGTGGGAGGGAGGGGGGGAGAGAGAAACGTCGATATGAAAGAGAAACATCGAGTGGTTGCCACCCACACCACCCAACCAGGGCTGGGGAAAAACTGCAACTGAGGCACGTGCCCTTAGTGGAAACCGAACCCGGGTCTCTCCAGACCGCAGGCGAACGCTCTAACCGCTGAGCCAAAGCGGCCAGGGCCTCATTTAGTTTTATAGCCTGTGTTGCCTGGTCTAGAATCTTGATTATTGGGTTCAGCTTGAATTTGCTCTGACAATGTTTTAAAAGTGTGTAATATTGCATTATATCTGTTTTACTGTTTATACAGTTTTCCCTTTTGGTCAAATCAGTCCAAAGGATGCATTGATGACCAGTCTTCTGTTTGAATAGTATGGTCTCACAACAACACGAAGGTTCATTCCTAGGAAGTCTCATTATCAATTTTGAAACCATGGGGCTGAATTTTCCCAAAACAAGAATAGTAGGTAAACCGAAGACAGTTGGGTCCTAATGGCCTTTCATTTCAATAAAAACCACTCTGAATTGTTTCTGTTCTATGAACTATCATGATCAGAGTTTTGCTTTCTCTTTTTTTAATGTATTTGTCATCTAGAATTACATTTATATAAGCCATGATATTAACATTTTATACATGTCCAGTAATAAAAAACTTGGATTATTTAGAAAAACCCAGAGAACAAATGTAACTATTATGACGGATACAATGTAATATGTGTCTGTCTCCTGGGAGTTCACTGTAAAAGGAAGCTGTTACCAACTGTGAAAACTTGGCAGTAGTATAAGATGTTCCCTTTCAGTAATGTCAACTCAAATTCCTTTATCTGAGTCTAGTTTATGTACACTGATGCATGAAGGAGTACAAAAAACAAAAAATGTAGAACATGGGAGCAAGGGAAGAACCAAGCAGCCATCTTGGGTTGCACTTATCCCTGTTGATGTTTTAATTTATAACCATTATTAACCCATACAATATACCCTAGAGGTTTTCAACAATTTTACAATGCTTCCCATGCAATTTCCAATCTTTCCAGGTATTCCAGGAACCCTTCTGCAACACTTAAGTTATTGCTACGGATTTTGAAATTTTTTTTAAGGAGAAAAATGGGGGAGAATTTTTGTTACAGATGTTTCCCCTTTTCCCCCCCACTGATTCCTCCCTCCCTCCCCGCCCTGTCCCCAGCTTTGTTCTCCATGTCCATTGTTCATGCATACATGCATATAAGTTCTGTGGTTTATCTCTCCCCCACCAACCCCGCTTCTGTGGATTGTCAGTCTTCCACGTCTCTGGGACTACCTCCCATTCCTCAGACTGTGATGTTCATTATATTCCACAAAGAAGTGAGATCATATGATACTTGTCTTTCTCTGTTTTGCTTGTTTCGCTTAGGATACTTTCCAGGTCCCTCCATGTCATCTCAAAGGATAAGAGATCTTTCTTTCCTACAGCTGCATAGTACTCCATTGTGTATATGTACCACTGCTTTTTTATCTATTCGTCTACTGATGGATACTTGGGCTGTTTCCAGATCTTAGCTATTGTAAATAGTGCTGCTACGAACATGGGGGTACATATATTCTTTCTGATGGTGTTTCAGGCTTCTTAGGGTATATTCCTAGAAGTGGGATCACTGGGTCAAATGGAAGTTCAATTTTTAATTTTTGAGGTAACACCATATTGTTTTTCACACTGGCTGCACCAGTCTGCATTCCCACCAGCAGTGTACTAGAGTCCCCTTTTCTCCACACCCTCGCCAACACTTGTTTGATGATTTGTTGATGGCGGCTATTCTGACAGGTGTGAGGAGATACCACATTGTTGTTTTAATTTGCATTTATCTGATGATTAGTGATATTGAACATTTCTTCATATGTCTCTTGACCATTTGTATGTCCTGTTTGGTGAGGAGTCTATTTAGTTCCCTGCCCATTTTTTAATTGGGTTCTTTGTCTTCCTTTTGTTGAGTTGTATGAGCACTCTCTACATATTGGAAATTAATCCCTTATCTGATATGTCATTGGCAATTATGCTCTCCCTTACAGTGGGTTGCCTTTCCATTTTGATGATTGTATCTTTGCTGTGTGGAAGCTTTTTAGTTTGATGTAGTCCCATGTGTTCATTTACTCCTTTGTTTCTGTTGCCTTAGGTGATGTATGAGTGAAAATTCTGCTGCATATGATGTCTGATATTTTGTTGCCTACATTTTCTTCTAGGATATTAATGGATTCATGAGTCACATTTAAGTCTTTTACCATTTTGAGTTTATTCTTGGGTATGGTATAAGTTGATGGTCTAGTTTCATTTTTTTTTTTTTTCATGTAGCTGTTCAATTTTCCCAACACCATTTATTAAAGAGGCTGTCTTTACTTCACTGTATGCTCTTGCCCCCTTTGTCAAATATTAACTGAGTATATTGCCTTGGGTTCATTTCTGGGTACTCTGTTCTACTGGTCTATATGCCTGTTCTTGTGCCAGTACCGGGCTGTTTTGATTACAGTGGCTTTGTAGTATAACCTGAAATTTGGTAATGTGATCCCTCCAACATTGTTCTTTTTTTTTTCAAGATTGCTGTGGCTATTCAGGGTCTTTTTTGGTTCCATATGAACTTTTGAAGTATTTGTTCTAGTTCTATGAAGTATGTCATTGGTATTTTGATGGGGATTGCACTGAATCTATAGATTGCTTTGGGTATTTTGGACATTTTAATGATGTTAATTCTTCCAATCCATGAACAAGGTATGTGCTTCCACTTTTTTATATCTTCCTCTATTTCTTTTTTCAATGACCTGTAGTTTTCTGCAAATAGGTCCTGTATTTCTTTGTTTAAGTTTATTCCTAGATATCTTAATTTTTTTTGTGTCGATGGTACATGGGATTGTTTTTTTAGTTTCTTTTTCTGTGAGTTCATCATTGGTGTATAAGAACGCCATCGATTTCTTGGCATTAATTTTGTATTTTGCTACTTTGCCAAATTCATTTAAGTCTAGTAAATTTTTGATGGAGTCTTTGGGGTTTTCTATGTATAGTATCATGTCATCTGGGAATGACAGTTTCACTTCCTCCTTTCCCATTTGAATCCCTGTTATTTTTTCTTCATGTCTGATTACTGTGCCTAAGACTTCCAGTACTATGTTAAATAAGAGTGTTAAAAAGTGGGCATCCTTGTCTTGTTTCTGTTCTTAGGAAATGTTTTAATCTTTGCCCATTGAATATGATGTTGGCTGTAGGTCTTTCATATATGGCCTTTATTATGTTGAGATATGATCTCTCTATTCCCACATTGCTGAGTGTTTTTATCAGAAATGGGGGCTGGATTTTGTCGAATGCTTTTTCAGCGTCTATTGATATGATCATACGATTTTTATCTTCCATGTTGTTTATGTTCCATTTATTGATTTGCGAATATTGAACCATCCTTGCATCCCTGGATGAATCCCACTTGGTCATGGTGAATAATTTTTTTGATGAATTGCTGGATTTGATTTGCTAGTATATTGTGCATGTTTTTGGCATCAATGTTCATCAGGGATATTGGCCTGTAGTTTTCTTTCTTTGTAGTGTCTTTTTCTGGTTTTGGAATTATGCTGGCGTCATAAAACGAGTTTGGAAGTCTTCCTTCTTCTTGAATTTTTTGAAATAGTTTGAGGAGAATGGGTATTAATTCTTCTTTGAATGTTCGGTAAAATTCCCCAGTGAAAC